AACCACTCATCCATACTTCCAAAGGTCTTTCTTGAGCACGAGGCGGCCTAAGAACCAGGTGGCAGTTTATATATTATCACTAAAAAAATTTATAAATCGATTTTAATCTTGTCTAATAAATAATTCAATTATTTAATTTATGCTCACAAAAAGGAATTATTCTTAAACGGTTCAAATTTCAAAAAATTCAGACTTTTAGTTTATAGCTTTTACAATAAATATTTGAAGAATAACATGAATATAAAATATATTTAAATTTGCTTTATTATTTGGTAATACAAACTCAAATTTTAGTTGATATGGTGCACTTTCTAATAACTTACAAAATTTATTGTGAAAATAATGAAGGATTTCAATGTCTTTTCCAATAAAGGCGTTAGTTATCTTGGAAATAAAAATATGACTTTTGTAGTACATTTCTTTTGCTTTAATGTTACACACATGATCCCTTATTGAAGCAGAGCACACCAAAAAATGTATTACCGGCAAAAGTGCTTCCTTAAGAGTTTACAATCTATCCATAAAAAAAGTACTTGTAGTATTTTATAGGTCTAAAATTTAGTGAACAATATTTTAAAATGATTGTTTCAAAAGAAAATATTGAAATTTTAAATTTTAAATAAAACATTTAGGTGATAGATCGTGTTGCCCAAGACCATAAAATAGTTATATATTACACTATTATTAATTACCAGGGAAAGTATCCTGTCCATTTGGACGGGTGGTCGGGTGCACAAGCACCCTTCCAATGGTTAGATCCCCTAGGGCCATATCTAATGGCCGAAAATTAGTCTAGTAATACTTAGTCTCATATTTTATCTTTTATTTTTTATTGAAATAATATAGTTATCTGAATTTTGAATTTTAGGTGTATTTTAATAAATATAACTAAATAAAAATGATTAAAATATTTTAAAAATAAAAAGCCAAAATACAATCTATATTTGTTTTGGTCAATAGTTTTATTCAAATTGTTTTTATTAATTTTATAAAAATGATCCTAAAACCAAAATTTCAGATTAGTATTCTAAATAAAAATTTAAAATAAAAAATGAGATTCGTTGTTGGCCGGATAAGCATGGTTCAATTTGAACCATCAAAAGGTGTTTGTTGCTGTGGACGCAATACCAACCCTAATTACTATTCTTGACCTTATCAGTATTTTAATGCCGTCTTTGTAAAATTTGAATTGGTGTAATTTTGAACCAAGCTCGAAACCTCAAAACAATTTCTTGAATGCCACGTGTTGACGACCCAAGTGGCATTTGAGATGATTTGTTCTTGTAGATGTGTTGTTCGTTTATGTAGAATAAAGTTGTTCTTTTTTGTAGAATAAAGTTGTGACAGTTCTTTTTGTCCGTTTTAGTTTTGTTGTGTTCAATCAGATAAAGTTGTGAGAGTTATTTCTCTTTAAAAATAAGATAGTATCTTTTCATAATTGTGTGCTTCCTAGTTTAGCTCATTGTGATCCGGAGTGCATCAAGATAATGACTTTACCCTACGGAAAACCGACGAATCTATGGTTGGTTGTGTTTTGTCCCGCATCTCTCAATAGACTCCGTACCACCTCATAGAACAAATGACTCGGGATTTAATTTTTTTAAACTTTGTTCTTTTTCAAAGCCATTTTTACAATTATCAATTTTAAAATTAAATGGACAAGAATAATTGTGACCTTCATGTACAAAAGACAAAAGAACAAGTTTTTCTTTACAATATAAAACTTTTATACTTCCCTGTATCCAACCGTCTTAGATGGCCCCAATTACAATGCTACCCTCTACACTGTATTAATTTTTATATTTTTATACAAAACATGTCAACAGCAAAATTTGGGTGGCCAATCCTCTCTTGAACTAGCACTTATAAAAAAATATAAAAATAATATTCCCAATAAAATAAAATAACTAAAATGCCTCTTAAAGTTTCAAGGGTATTTTGATCATTGTATTTTATCAAAAATATTTTTTAATATTTTATTTTGGTGCGACCTATTGAGGTGATGGCACGTACCAACTTCATATTCATATAGTTAGTAGAAAACAAATTAAAAATATAATACACTGAGGCGTAGGATCTAGATTAAATGGTTAGTGGCTAACTTGATCTTTATTGGATAAATGGGGAAGTATGTATCTTTTATGCTGTAGGGGAACCATAGAAACCTTTCCCAAGACAAAATGGTCTTTTTGTAGACGATCTCTATTTTTAAACATAAGTTTACAAAAAGTGGTACAATATCGGGGGGTAAGTTACTGTAGAAACTCGCCTAAATACTTTAGCAATTCGGGCAAGTTTTTTCTTTATTTAATAGTTTTATGGATTTGATAAAGGATCAGGTTTCTATGCTGCCAAGCCCGCACATGTAGAAATGCGGGCGTCTTAATAAATCTATTATTGACATGGATTTTAAGTACTCTTTTTTAAAAGTACATGTAATCTCTAACATGGAGATCATGAATTATGAAAAAAATAAAATAA